GGTACGATGCGACACCCCCTCCCCCGGGGAGGAGGGGGAGGGGAGAGGAGGGAGGGAGGGGGAGAGATTCTCTGCTCCAGGTACGACGCGACACCCCCTGCCCCGGGGAGGAGGAGGGAGGGGAGGAGGGGGAGAGGAGGGAGAGAGGGGGAGAGATTCTCCGCCCCAGGTACGACGCGACACGTTGATCCCCGGGGAGGAGGGGAGGGGGAGGGAAGGGGTTTCTCTCCGTGAAGTGTTTTAGTGATGGGTGACTTTCGGCGTTGCCGCTAACCGTGGGGTTAATTGTTTGTGGACGGAATAGTAGAGAGAGGTATGATGGGGGAATGTTGTGCAGGAATGACCGAGTTCGTTTTTGTGTGTGAGGAGGCGTATGCGCGTGCGTACGTGCATAGATGAGTGTACGTGTGTGTATGTGTGTGCGTGTGCATGTGTGTGCATGCACGCATGCCTGCGCGCGTGCGTGTGTGTGTGTGTGTGTGTGTGCATGCATGTCTGCGTGTGTGCGTGTACGGACAATGACTGTGAACCTGCCCCTCACGGTAGAGTACCACCACGTCGGTAACACAGATGTATCGTTTCCCTCGCGCCGGACAACTCTAGGTTTTGCGTACTGCTTCCCGCTGCTGGAGAGTGTACTGAGGCGCGGCGGCGCGGCGGTGGGAGGCGATGAGAACGTCCTCTGCCAGGCCCTGAAGGTCATCTCCACCCACGCAAACCTACGCAACCCGGACGCTGATACCGACGACGATGATGACGAAGCTAGCGTGGTGAGCACAGCGTAGTGGTAGAAGCTAGCGTGGTGAGCACAGCGTAGTGGTAGAAGCTAGCGTGGTGAGCACAGCGTAGTGGTAGAAGCTAGCGTGGTGAGCACAGCGTAGTGGTAGAAGCTAGCGTGGTGAGCACAGCGTAGTGGTAGAAGCTAGCGTGGTGAGCACAGCGTAGTGGTAGAAGCTAGCGTGGTGAGCACAGCGTAGTGGTAGAAGCTAGCGTGGTGAGCACAGCGTAGTGGTAGAGGGGTGGCAGTAGCATGGTAGCAGTAACATGGTAACAGTAACAAGGTAATGGTAGCAGGGTGGCAGTAACAAGGTAATGGTAAAGGGGTGGCAGTAGCAGGGTAGCAGTAACATGGTAATGGTAGCATGGTAACAGTAGCGGGGTAGCAGTAACATGGTAACAGTAGCATGGTAGCAGTAACAAGGTAATGGTAGCATGGTAGCAGTAACATGGTAACAGTAACAAGGTAATGGTAGCAGGGTGGCAGTAACAAGGTAATGGTAAAGGGGTGGCAGTAGCAGGGTAGCAGTAACATGGTAATGGTAGCATGGTAACAGTAGCGGGGTAACAGTAGCGGGGTAGCAGTAACATGGTAACAGTAGCATGGTAGCAGTAACAAGGTAATGGTAGCATGGTAACAGTAGCATGGTAGCAGTAACAAGGTAATGGTAGCAGGGTGGCAGTAGCGGGGTAGTGGTAGAGGGGTGGCAGTAGCAGGGTAGTGGTTTTGGGATAGTGAATTTATATACAACGGGTAATGCAGTGAAGTTGTTCATTAAATGATACGTTATATAATATGTTGGGAGAAAGGAATTCGTATTAAATGGTTTTGGAATTCAATAGTCAGGTGATTAGTCAATTGTCAGAACGAACGTAACTTGTTTCCCCTGTGTTTTGCAGCATGGCCCGGACCTGTTGCCGCGCCGACAGATGCTGCAGCTGCTGACGCACGTGGTTGGTACGAGCGCCGGCCGCCTCCACCAGATGGCGTGCAAGGCCATGCTCGAGACGGCCGTGTGTGCGAGCGGCATCGACGGCTGCGCCAGCGCCACCCAGGGGGAGATCGACGTACTACTGCTTGGCCTGCAGTCTCCGGCTCTTACCGTCCGGGAAACGGCTCTTCAGGTATCATGCGCGCGTGCGTGCATGCATTCATGCGTGCATAACGATTATTATACATTGTCAATGTGTCTTGGCAGTGTCTGATCGTAGTGGTGCTGATATATTTGTTTGTTTGTGTGTACATGTATGTGTGCGCGATGTGTGTATACATCTCTTCGTATATCTCTCGACACAGTGTCTGATGGCGATGATGCTGGTGCTGCCGCTGCCGGACGAGGAGATGGACGAGGAGCAGGGCATGCAACTCGTGCAGAGAGTCTGGGTCGTCAGGCACGATGAGGAGGAAGCCATCCAGATCCTCGCTCTCAGGTTCGTTGTCATCCTCCTCGATGCGTGGTTTATCACTAAGGGAAAACGTAAAGAGGGGAATGGATGGTAGATATGGCTATAATAATCTACCGTCCATTTTTGCTCCCCCCTTACGTTTCCCCTTAGTACTATTATAGCCACATCTACCATCCATTTTTGCCTCACCCGTATGTTTCCCCTTAGTACTATTATAGCCACATCTACCATCCATTTTTGCCTCACCCGTATGTTTCCCCTTAGTCCTATATGGCTATAATATTGGCTTAAGGGGAACAGAGGGGAATAATACTACTGCAAGATAATCGTTTAGTATGCTTATTTGTTTAACCCCCTGCATCATACACGCACCACACTTATGCTCTGTAACAACCTCACCAATGTCTTCATGCGCCGCACCTTCCACATGTGCATCTGTAACCCCCCACCACACACACACACACACACACCACACACACACCACACACACACACACACACACACACACACACACACACCACCCCACCCACACACACACACACACCCACCCCCACCCAC